TTAGGATTTCCTTGGCTTTACCTACACAACCCACATATTGATTTGATCCAGGGAGAGATTCTTTCATGGGGATCCAGTTGTAAGGAGAGGTGTATCGTTTCTATCAAACCACTTCATGTCATTCCTACCACTACACCCTTATCTACAGAAATACCACCACAGTATTTTTCTGTGACACAGGTGTTCAATAAAGCACATGCTGAGACATTGCTTATGACTATGCTACTGACTTACTATCAGGCACTGTGCTCCCTATGGGTACGGTGTACCCATTGCCCCCACATGAAAGTAAGATAACCAAGTATACATTCTGGAATCACTCTCTAAAGGTTTGATTTCTCTTCTGTGGGTCTAAAACCCCAGGTCCTCCACATATGTTACCAAAGAAAACAGTGCAAACTGACTGAGAGCTTAGTGCTGGCTTAATTAATTTAAATCTATCAAAGTCTTTGGTATAGTGTGAAACTCAGAGAGCAAGGGGTTAAATAGTTCCCTAGGATAGATGATAAAAAAATGATGATAATAATTGTTTACCAAGAGAAATAAATAAATGCTAATCCAAGTTTAAAACTAGAAAAAAATATATTTGCACAGTTACTAGGAACAGAAAATCCCCAAATCCCATCAGTCTATCTAGATTAGTACTGAAAGCACCTGAGCTATCTCGGAGAATATGTCCCTATCTAGTATCTAGTAAACTACTGCTAGTGACTACATTCGTCCTGAATCTATACTGATCTTACTAAAATAATGACTGCATTAGAAAGAGAGACGAAGGCTGCATCAAGCCTAACCTAATAAAAAGAAACAAAATATTTATTGTAATGATTATTGGATAAATTCATGAAGTTATAATGACACTCATTTCATCCTATATACATAGATTATATACATATATACACCCAAAATCCTCCCTGTGCTAAAGTTCATGAGCTGTGTGTCTATTTACAATGGGTGATGATCCAAAAAATGGAAAAAAATCCAAAAAATCCAAAAAATCAGAAAAATGGAAAAATGAAAAAATAGAAAAATATAAGAAAAAAGAAAAGAAAAGAAAAAAGAAAAAAAGAAAAAATATATATGATACAGTCCTGAAGACTAATAGTCCAAAATATAGTGCACTATACAATTCATTTGTGTATGGATGGATCTCACCGATATAGATGTTACTTTAAAGCATGCACAGTAGGAGGATGCTGAAGTCTGTAAGTAGTGTATACCAGATGAGGGTGAAAATGATAGTTGTTGTTTGGTGAAAAGACAGTCAATCATCCATTCTCTGCAGAATCTGGTCGATATGGCAGGTCACTCAATGATCCTTAGAGTGAGCAATCCTTGAAACGGGCTGCGCGCTCGGGACGTTCCTGTCCCTTCGATGGCCCCTGTTCCTCTCCGTCCTATAAATTACTTAACTAAGGTGAAGATAAGATATATATATAATAATTAGATTATCTTTTTATTTTTAATTTTTATTTTTATTTATAATTTTAAGTTCATCAATTCACTTTTATCTTTATTTTAATTTGTAATTTTATATTATATTCTTTTATTATATATCAGCTATTAGAAAATGGCTTATATTGTAATTCGGAAAAATTTCTTTTTGATCTGTCTGAAGTTCAGTTCTTAAGGTCCATTATATCTGCCTCTGGATTCAAAATAGATACAAGGAAATTGAAGACAGTATTACAATAGACTTGTCAAAGGGATTGAGAGCTATCCAAAGATTTATTGGCTTTGCACATTATTACCACAGGTTTATAAAGGGATTTTCCTTTGTTATAGCCCTGATTAACAGTCTAACTAGAACAGGGGTCAAGTCCTAGGGAAAAAAGTGTGGGAACTCACCCAAGATCCACCCTCCCTTCTCTCCCACCCCAAAAAGATTATAAGCTTGTATGCATATATATTTCTCAGAATATACAGTGCAACATTTATTGTAAACTGCCAGTTTACAAAGACATCTCCAAAATTCACATGCATTAAATAAATACATATAGAACCGTTCTTGAAGCTTCTTCTAGAATCTCAGTCCAGAATCTGCTATTGTGTAAAACCACATACCAACCATGAACCATATTCTACTTTTGGAATAATTTGTATTTCCATGGTTTAAATAATAAGCACTAATCAGATAAATTATGTTTTAATTAAGCTAATTTATGCTTTTACAGTTGAGAGTTTATTGCCTTGTGTACAATAAAAACAGATGATAAAACACATAATTAGTGTATGTGAATATGCTTTGTGTTTCATGCATTTAAACCTGTAACATACATCTCCAAAATAAACAGCACAGCAGTATAGTTACCCACTACTAGAGTACTTGTAAGTATTTTCAATGTTGTTATTTGTAACACTACTAAACATTTGTGTACAATGGGCTAAGTAAGAATCCAACAATAATTGTTTCTCGTTATATTTTTTGTGATTTCTAGTTACTCCAACACATGTAAATAAAGGAAACTCTTCGAATTCCTGCATGTATTGCTAACCAATCTTACGACATCTGATACTTAAAACACAGTTCTCACCTCCACAAATATAGATCATAGGTTGCTGCTTTGGTGGAGGAGCATCTTTCTGTGGTTCCATGGTACACCCTACAAAAGTATAGTGATAAAAATATATATTATGTGTCACCTTATATACAAAATACTGTACCTAAATTCAGAATATTCCGAATATAACAAGGCTTTACCTTAAAGCGCCGCAACACTGTGCAATGTGCCCAACAAGTTCTACGAGTCGCCTAATGATGGCGATTTCCGCAACCTTTCTCGTCACCAGAGGGAGTGCTCAAGGAACAGGTAGCTGGGTGGCCATGTTTGACATGGGCTGTACATGTTTCACATGAGTCGACCTGAGTGATCATATTTGATGTGGGATGACATGTGTGGCTTGATGTGTAATGTGAGCAGCATGACTGATTGGGTTTAATATTAATATTATTATTATTACCATTTATATAGCGCCAACAGATTCCATAGTGATTTACAATATTATTATAGTGGGGATTTAACTATAAATACGACAGTTACAAGAAACGATAGGTTGAAGAGGGCCCTGCTCAAATGACCTTACAGTCTACAGGTGGTGGTGAATAAAACACATTAGGACAGGAAATAGCAATCAAATAGGGTGGGAGTGAAGCAGAGCTGGAGGAGAGAGTAAAGTGCTGCCCTTTAGGAGAGAGCAAGAGACAGGTATGTGAGGTAGAGTTTACTCTGGGAGGCCATAAGCTTTCCTAAAGAGATGGGTTTTAAGGTACTTCTTAAATGTTTGAAGATTAGGGGAGAGTCTGATGGCGGTAGGCAGGTTATTCCATTGGAAGGGAGCTACGTGCGAGAAGTCCTGCAAGCGTGAGTTAGCTGTATTTGTGCTAGCAGCAGTCAGGAGAAGTTCACAGGCAGAGCGGAGAGACCGAGAAGGGGCATACCTATGGATCTGTGAGGAGATATAAGAGGGACTAGAATTGTTCAGTACATTATATGTATGGGTTAGCACTTTGCATTGACTCATATAGGATACAGGAAGTCAATGTAAGGACAGACAGAGGGGTAAGGTGTGAGAGGACCGACTAGAGAGGAAAATCAGTCTGGCAGCCTGAAGTGGTCTGAAGTGCAGCTGGTAGTGTGAGGTAAATGTGTATTTTTATCCAACACATATATGTTCAATCATATAAATAAGCAAAGGGCGTTCATGCTGTGGAAAAAGTGCAGGAACGCTGTTCCCATGCGTTCCTGCAGGAATCGAGCCCTGAACTAGAAAGAGAATTAATTACCATCCCCAGTTTAACAAAGCCACAGAAACAGCGAATCAGTGTTTGTGCTGCTTTGTCTTCTACAACCAATAACAAGTTGGATCTGCTTCCCTTGTCTGAGTTTGCACTTAATAATTCTACACAGGAGTCATCAGGGCACAGGCACTACATAGTTACATACTTACATAGGCTGAAAAGAGACGTGTCCGTCAAATTCAGCCTTCCTCACATTTGTTTTTTGCTGTTGATCCAAAAGACGGCAAAAAAAAAAAAAACGTTTGAAGCACTTTCAATTTTGCAACAAACTAGGAATAAAATTCCCTCTTGACCCCAGATTGGCAGTCAGATTAATCCTTGGATCAAGCAGCTATTACCCTACATTGAAAAATTATATCAAAATAGTCCATATTATATTAATTATGGCCGACAGTGTTCTCTAAGCAGGGATTGCCTTTCCTCAATCAACATCTAGAAGAATGTTGCACGCAATCACAACATAGGTGCAGGTATCCGGGTCACCTCCAAAGACCCCAAACTACCCTATATCAAATACCAAATGATACCACACTTAAAATTTGAGATAATGCACAAAGTATAAAGTTTATTAGTATAACATAGCCCCTATTGGTAGAGTCCAAAAGTAAACCTATAAATTGAAAAATAACTAATATACAGACACAACAGCTCAATATCCTGTCCACCAAAGAGAAAGTGCATTGAAGATTATAAAGTGCTAAGTGCCAAACCACCATAACTGTAAACCTGTAGACATAATATAAAGTGCATTAACAATTACATATACAATATAAAATACTACCTGTCAGTTTCCCTATGCACTATGATAAATATTCTAATTCTCTGAGGGCACAAATAAATTAAGAATCTATCAAGCAAAGTTTCGGGAATACTCTCTTGTAGTCCTGCAACCTGTCAAAACCAATCATATACTTCAACAAATCAAAAAATACAAAAATCAAAAGAAAAACTACAAATACAGAAAAAACATTTTTAAATTATGTATATGCAAAAAAGAGTCTTATGTAAGGGTATTGGTCTGATCTCACCCATAATGCATTACGGAGGCCTTCTGATGTTATGAGGTAGTACATCACAAAAATGTATTGTATGGATTCCTTGCGGTGCAGGAAGAAAGACAAATAGTCCCAGGGCATTTTTACCATGTGGATATCGTTGTGAAGTCCTTGTAGTGCAGGAAAGCAAAGGCAGGCAGTTCCATGGGCTGTGTGCTTGGGAAATGACGTCTCCTTCCCAAAATGTTATATTTCCTCAGAGCGATTCACTTCACTACACCATTCTAATTTTTTTGGAAGGTTCATTCAGACCTTCTGACATTTATATGAAATAGGAAGCCTTGCAGAATTCAATTGACCACTTTTAAAAAGCTAGGGGAGGAATGGGTTTGCCAAACTTTATTCATTATTATTTTGCTTCCAATGTGGCCAATGCTTTTAAATTTAATCTGAATCATGGATGCCCCTGTGGCTTGAGATGGAGGCTACAAAAATTCTTCCTCATTTAATAAAAGAAGTGCTTTGGTTGCCTCTGTCCCAGCGGCCGCGGGTGATGAACATGTTTCCGACTACCAAAGTCACTATTAAGGCTTAGAATCTCTTGTATAAAAAGATCAACCCTTCTACTACCTGGTCCAGGGCTGTTCTTTTGTCGGTGTTGCGATTTGCATTACCTGATCTAGATGTGGAATATTGTCTACATATTAATTATTTATTTTTGTCTAATACGTTTTTACCTGTTGACCTATTACAGACCAAGTTTGGTCTGGACGCCTCCGATGCCCTGATGCACAGACAGATGGTGAATTTACTTAGTGATCATTTTAATGTATCTGATCAGGATCTGAATATTCGTAAAGTTATAATGTCATCATTAGAAAAAAATGTATCATTCAGATCCTGCTCAGAAACACACCATCTCGATGTGCTATACTTATTTTGCTGGGGAATCTGGTCCAAAATTAGACTATATGACAAAATGGGAAAACAACTGAAAAACGAGTTTAAAGTGGAGGAATGGCATGGGATTCTGATGGCATTACCCTGTACTACATGGTCTGCGGCACTTTTGGAGTCTCATTACAAACTTATATACAGATGGTACCTGACTCTCTCTAGACTTTTTAAATCGCAATTATCTCAGACTAACGCATGCTGGAGGGAGCGCGGTCAAGTTAGTACTCTGTATCATGTCATTTGGTCTTGTCCTAAACTAAAACAGTATTGGGAAGATATTCACACTCTAATTAAACTTATCACTGATCAAATCCCCATTATAACACCAGAATTGTGTCTCCAGAAAAGATTCCCAGATGATTTGCCCATAATTAAAAGAATTATGTCAACTCTTGATTTCAGCCACCTCGATAGTGGAAAACAGATACTATTCCTTCTACAACAGACGTGTTGCATAATACTATAGAAACCAAGCAATGTGAATTATCCTTTAGACCACCTTCCAATACAGTTATGTTCTGAAATATGAATTGAAACTCTGGGAAAAGAATGTCAAGAATCAATATAAATTATAACATATAACTTCACCTGACCAGATAACAAAGTTTTTTATATGATCTTATTTTAAGCACATTGTTGCATGTAACATGTTTGGTATCTTAATTGATTTATTTTTTAATAACTGACTATACTTTATTGAAAAAAACATGAATTACTACACATTGTATCGGATGTTATGTGTAAATGTATTCCCTGGTTATTTATTTATTTATTAATGTATATTGTTTACATAAATACTCATATTACGTAATTATTCTTACTGTTATGGAGACATTAAACATTTATCTGTAATAAAAAACATTTGAAAAGAAACCTGTAGTGAAGTATCATTCAAGTATCATTGAAGTATCAGGAAATCCAAGGAGAAAATGTTATGCCTTCTGTGAGGAAGCTGAAGCTTGGGCGTCATTGGACCTTTCAACAAGACAATGATCCCAAACATACCTCAAATTCCACCAAGGCTTCGTTGCAGAAGTCCTGGAAAATTCTACAGTGACCACCACAGTCAGCTGACTTGAACCCCATAGAAAATCTCTGGTGGAATTTAAATTAGTGGTTTGCAGCTGTAAACCCAAGAACTGAAGGCTATTGCTCACACGCAATGGACTAACATTCCTCAGGAATGCTGCCAGAAACTGGTGTCTGGCTATGCATTTCATTTGTAACTGGTCTACGTACTAAAGATGCTTGTCGTGAAGTGGTTGAATAATTTTGAGACTGGAGAAATCATTATAAGTTGCATTTTCAGGTGAATTTTTGGAAACCACTTGAAGCATTTGTTGTGTTTAGCCATTCCAATTGCTTTTGTTTGAATTGTCCATTGCAAACAGCTGAAGTTCTGTACATTTTGACAGTAAACCTCATTTTCAATAGGGGTCGAATAATTTTGATTACAACTGTTTATGTCCTAAACTTTATGTATGAAGTATGGTATTGCACCGAGACATAATCTAAAAATATTGATTTTGTTCAGCTTGGATTTATTTTCAATATAAAGGTATCATATAGTGAATTAACCTATATTTGTAATGAAACTGTAGGCTATTTGTTCAGTTAATAAATTAGGTAAATTGTGCATGATTTTCTAGAGTGGAGCCAAAGCCCTTTAATATGTGATTGCATTCAAAACTCACCATTGTTTACACTTCCACTTTGTAGTTATAAAAGACAGTCTCCTTGGTGAGTTCAGCTATTTAAATGTCTATGTTCTTGTCCACTCGTTTCCCCCTCTTGTCTAAGACAATTTGAATAGCAATTAAATAGATTAACAACAATTAATGTGAGGAAAAAAATCAACAATTGTTGTGCTATATTGGCAAGATGTTGATTAAAATAGAGAGATGGTTTATAAAACATCTAGCTCGTGTGTAGTTTTAATTTGAGCTAATGATCTCCTAGACCTATTGAGAATGTTGGGGTGACTGAACTGCCTGGTGCATTGATCTTTCAGCTACACTCACAGCCCTAGAATACCTATTTATTTGTGTGCTTGATTACACAAGAACAATCTATTTAGAGAATGTGTCTTCTATAGTTTTTACTTGGCCAGAGTTGTAAAACCTTCTGCCTCACCTATTTTCTTTGATCTGATTAGTAAGGTTGTCAGCAGTGGACAGACCTGGAACTTTCTATGTTATTCCCATTAATTTGGTTGGAAATCATTAGTGTAAACTGATACTCAACTTAAGCTATTAATTAAAATGTGCTGTGATCATGTAAAATCACTGTGACTCTTCATAAAGCAAGATATATTTTTTTGGGTTGTATGATATTATTATTGCTAGAATATAAAAGTGTTACAGATAAGATGACATTTAACTGTTTCAAGGCAAGGGCTCTTTCGTACAAAAGCAATTTTTATTTATTTGAGATTTTTTTATATCTTTGTTCAACAATATTTTGTTTTTATTTATGTAGTTCAAAAACATGTTATTCCCTATTTTTAAAGGAAACCTAGGATTGTACAAATTTAAAAAATACACATTTTTGTCTATTATAATGTGTAGACAACTAGTGCATCCAAACAATGGTATGTGAAAATAGATCCATCAATTTGTCTTGATTATGGGAATGCCTCATATGCTTTCGATTTATATCTATACTTTTGCAATAATAGATCAGGTACCAAAACTGTTTATTTATGGGACTTTTGATCCTCTTAATGTTGCTGTTTTATTACCATCCTCTACCAAAATTTCTGATAACATACAACATTTCAAACATCTATAAACACAACCTTGCACTTTTATTGTGAAGTTTGCAAACCTATTTTTTTGTCTGCTGCAGTAATGCACCCACATTTGTATCCACCAAGTGCAACAATCTCCCTTATGTTTTACCGTTTTTTGGTGAAATTCCAAAGCTGAATTTGGTATGTGGCCATTTTTAGTTTTGCCATCTGAAATTTTGATGTTGGGCCTAGACTAGGCATCTGCAACTCTGCATCCCACCACTGCTACCCCGAGTAGTTGCTGAACTGTAACTCCTCTCATAGAGCTCTGGCCATCTATTGCATTCAATTAACTTACGGGGGCAATGTTTGAGATCCCTGCTCTAGACTCTGAGTCGCCTAGTGTGAACCCTTGATGGACTCTTTGTTTCCACATAAACAACATGTTACCAAATTGTAGTAATTCCTATTAAGTTTTCATTTTTCTTTTCATTTTCAGCAGGTTGAACAGATAAATGAAAAAATATTTCAGTCACGAAGACATGAAATAGAACAACATGTCATGTTGCTAGCTCTGAATGGAATCATCAAATGTCTTGCACAGTAACAATCCACAATATAATGATCTCACATGAATCCATGAATAATGTTAAAGGACCACTATAGGCACCCTGATCACTTTAGCTCAATTAAGTGGTCTGGGTGCCAAGTCCCCCAGGTTTTAACCCTGCAGCTGTAAACATAGCAGTTTCAGAGAAACTGTTATGTTTACACTAGGGTTAATCCAGCCTCTAGTGGTTGTCTCACTGACAGCCGCTAGAGGCGCTTCCGTGCTTCTCACTGTGAAAATCACAGTGAAAAGACACTGACGTCCATAGGAAAGCATTAAGAAATGCTTTCCTATGGACTATTTGAATGTGTGTGCGGCCCTTTCCGCGCATGTGCATTCAGTGCTGACGTCGGAAGGAGGAGGAGAGTTCCCCAGCGCCGAGGGAGCCCGGCGCTGGAGAAAGGTAAGTGTTTAACCCCTTCAGCCCCCTTGAGCCCAGCGGGAGTGGGACCCTGAGGGTGGGGTGGACCTAAAGAACATATAGTGCCAGGAAAAATAGTTTGTTTTCCTGGCACTATAGTGGTCCTTTAAATAAACACAGCGTAAAAAAACAAATGTGGGGAAGGCTGAACTTGATGGACGCAAGTCTCTTTTCAGCTATGTAACTATTTACCTAGGTAACTGTGTAACTTATAGAGAGCCTTGTCATGGCTTGAGGCCCAAAGGGTAAACAGGATCCACATAAGGATAGGGATAGGAGGCAACCACAGCAGGCATGAAACCAGGTAATATCCAGTCCCATAAGTTTCAGCTTGGCAGTTTCAGGGTTATCCATCACAAACATTTGGTTGTAGTATGTTTAAAACAGAGCTTGGGAGAATACAGCTTTGGAGAATATAGGAGCTAAAATTTAATCTGTCACTGTAGAGGAGTATCCTGGAAACAATAATATTTTTATTGTGTTGATTACTAAAGTTTACATGTTTTCCGTAAAATTCAGGAGATATATGATAACTGGTCTTGGTCTGGAGTTTTGAATGTCTTCCTTCAGGTGGCCAACGTGGTGAGCTCTTTTAATAGACAAAGGTTTGTCGCAGCCATATGGTAGATGCGGAGCCAGGTGTAGATATACTTGTACGAATGTGCTTGGTTTTAATGATTCTACAATTCCTGACATTTTTTCTGCGACTATAATTTTTTAAATCA